CAACATCAACAACATTAACAACAACATCAACATAGCACAGTCCTATTGACGCCATCAGAGCCATTTTACATAAATTCGGATTACTTTCTTCAGAATAACTACCAGGACAGTAAGAAAACAACATCAAAATCAACAACAAGTCAACAACAACATCAACAACAACAATAACAACATTAACTACATCATCAAAACTATTAACACATTCCTTAGTATCAATTAAACAGTAAAATACCGATACAAAAATAAACATTACATAATACAAGCCAGCAATAACAACATGGCTCAACATTTGGATTAATGTCAACAATTTTTCTGTATAACCAGCAACCAAACCTATCTTAACGACAACAACAAAAACTGCAACATCAACAACAACATCAACAACAACAACAAAGAGCACATCACCAGTCTCAACAACAACATCAAAAACACAATGATTGTTTGTCAGGTATGTTTATAGGACATACAAGAACATACCCTTCAACACCACACACACGCACACATACACACACGTGCGCACGCACACACATTTATAATCACGACACAGATTCTTCAATTTAACATATACAATTATAATTGGCGCAATATGAATTTAAAATCACCGACATAAACATACACGCACACACACACACACACACGCACGCACACACACACGCACAGACAATAGGATATGAACACTTTCTACTTTCGATCATTCCTACTATCCATGCTGTGCCATGCAAGTCTGGGCTACTACTACTGAGTTAACTAAGAGGTTGGCTGACTGGCTGTTTGGATGGTTCTTTGGTTGGTTGGCTGGCTGGTTCTTTGGTTGGTTGGCTGGCTGGTTGGCTGGTTGGCTGATTGTTTGGTTGATTAATTGGCTACTTGGTTGAATGACTGATCGGTTGGCTGGTTGGTTGGTTTTTTTTTATGTAAATTAGATATAATGATGAGAATGATGACAATATGGTAATAATGATGATGATGGGATTATAAAAAGGATAATAATCATTGCCCGACATCTTTATCATCTTGATCATCTTACGGACGACGATGATCACGATGATGATTTAGATTTTTATTAAAATGACCATTAAAAACTTATAATTAATGTCATTAGTTTGATGATGATGATAATGATGATGATAACAACAACGACGATGAAGACGACGATGATGATGAGAATGATGATGATGATAGTTTAGCTGTTTAGACAGTTGAACTTTACAATCATAAAGATGCTCCTTCTCCTTTATCATCTTAAATATTTGCACATTTTTCTTTTCCACAACAACAAATGTAGTAGTGGTAGTACTACAACAACAACAACAACAACAACAACAACAACAACAACAACAACAACTACTACTACTACTACTACTACTACAACTACTACTACTGCTACAACTACTAATACTACTAATACTACTACTACTACTACTACTACTACAACAACAACTACTACTACTACTACTACAACTACTAATACTACTACTACTACTACTACTACTACTGCTGCTGCTACTACTAATACTATTACTACTACTACTGCTTTTATTGCTACGACGACTACTACTGCTGCTACTACTACTTTTTCTTCTTACTTATTATTATTATTTTTTATTGTTATTGTTATTATTATTGTTGCTGTCATTTTTGTTGTTGTAATCGATTTTTTGCGCTGGATTCATTGTTGTTACGCTGTCGATAACGTCAGATCAGAATTATCGTCATCGTCATCATCATCGTCGTCGTCATCTTCGTCGTCATCTTCGTCATCGTTATAATCATATGAAGGTATTTTCTTAACGTCGTCATCATGGCGCAGTGACGCTATGGAAATTATTATTTTCTTTTCACATCATGATCATCGTCGTCGTCATCATCATCATGATCATCATGATCATCGTCGTCGTCATCATCTCATCATCATCATTATCGTTACTATCATCATTTTTTTTACTGCCTCAGCATCAGCATTATCGTTATGGTCATCGTTATCAATTTACTTTTGCTGAAATTTGATGTTTGGCTTGGCTTCGGTTGTTTTTAAAGGCCTGAATGCTGCAACTGTCGTTTAAGCCATCATTTTTTTGGATTCCAGAGCAATAATGAATTGTTGATCAGAGAGAAATATATTTTGGCCATCATAGCTGTTGGGACATCTGAAGTTTAACAAAAGATAGAATACTTAACTAGATAGAGATCTATCGTATAGACATGAATCGCCTGCTGTTTTTCTTCCTAAATAGCTGGTTTTTCATTCTAAGAAATTAAATTCTTTCAAAATTGTCGGTATTCTGGTGTTCGACTTTCTTCGGTCGAATCGTGGATCGACTATTCAGCTATTCGACTCATCTCTAAATGATCGTCACCTTTGCTGCTGTCATAGTCGTCATCGTCTTCATCGTCCTCATTATCACCGTGATAGAAACTTTTATCCTGTCGAAAATAACTATCAACATATACAAAAATGAAAATAATAATAATTAAAATAATAATAATAAAAAAATGATAAAATTATTATTTATATTTTTAATATTTTATTACACGCAGTAGGTCTCAAAGTCCCATGCATAAACAACCACACCGCCAGCAGCCACAAAGAGGGCGGCGACGAAGAAACGATGACGACGATGACGTTGGTGGTGGTGGTGGTGATGGTGGTGATAATCTTCACGACAGCAAGGATGGTGATGAGGAAAATGAAGATGGGAATGCTGATAATGATCGCGAGACTAAATTCGTCAACAATAATTACAACAACAGCAGCAACAACGACAACAATAATAAAAATAATAATGGCAGTAATAAAAATTACACCAACAACAAGAACCATTCTAATAGTAATAGTAGCTTCAGTAATGGTAATGACAACAACAGCAACAACAACAACAGCAACAACAACAACGTCACCAATAACGTCAATCATGGCTTGAGTTTCATTGGTTAGTTAATTATGACATCACTTTAATGATGTTACTGTAATTACGTCACTTATTACACCACACTAATGACATTAAATTGATTTAAATTACATTAATTACTTTACGTAGATTACATTAAATTAGGCTGGTTACATCAGATTACACTGATTACATTAATTTGATTACCATACCACCAAATGATGCCCATCATCCTTGTTTAGCTCCTCCAGTGTCTCCGTTCTTCCCTCCATTTTATCCATATCTCCCTTCGTTTGTGGCTCCGCCCACTCATCCATTTGTGCTACAAGGTACGTTTCGTTCTTGTCGTCATCGTCATTGTCGTCATCATCATTATTATTATGATGTAGTAATCATCACTCTCATGATCGTCGTCATCGTATTTATCATTGTTCTCATTATTCTTGTTGTTATTTTTAGTTACGCCATTGTACAAATGTATCCAACTGACGTCATCAACTGACGTCATCATCGTCATCGTCGTCGTCGTCGTCATCAGTATTATAATCCTTTTCATGATAATTTTCGCACTTGCTATGACAGTCATCATCGTATTTAATCACAAACATAATCTCCATAGTTATTTATTCTCACCTTCAGTTTGAAATTATTCTCACCTAAAAAACAAATTTTTAAAAACTCCATCACCGGCGTCACGTGACGCCGCAGTGACGTCATCGTCACAATGATAACATCGCCATTATCATCGTCGTCATTAACATAGGACCTCCCTCTCTGCTATCCTCGCCATGGAACAGCATGTTGATTGACAGCTCACGCAAACGATCATTATCACAATCACCCAGTGATCTATTCGATAGCTTGTCCAGGAGTTCGGAAGAGGCGGGGCTTAAAATGTCACTCAACTCCACTAATTCCAGTGGCTCTTTCGGAACGTGTAAGTTGGTGATTGGTCGATAAATGGATGGATGGATGGATAGATTTTGTAAATTGATAGATAGAGGAATGCACAAATGAAAGGATGAATGAATTGATGGGTGGATGGATGGATGGTTTAATAAATGCAATGGATAGATATGATATGATATATATGGAAGGATGGATGAATGGCTGAAAGATCAATCAGTTGCATACTTTATGAAAGTGCATGTTATTGACGAATAAACGAAATTTTTAACGATTTTAATATTGTACGCATTTGATTGACAGCTGTCTCGGGGTTGTTCCCACCCCCAAGCCGTCACCCATTTTTGCAGCCCCACCCATTTTTTAACCCCATGATGTATCCACCTTTCGTGCCTTCGCCATTTCTCCACTTGCCAAAACCATTCGGCGAACATCCATCATCGTCGTCGTCATCATCACCGCCATTTTATTCCCACTACCACCACCCTGCCCCTCCTCCTCCGCAAGGTCCCGTCCCTCCATCTCATCATCTTCCTCTTCATCCTCTCTCACGCCATCATCATAATCATCGACATCAACATTTGGCGGGAAATCATGATAATGATATTTTGAAAGTGTCGAGCAGTACTGTGCTTAATCGGAATGAGGGTGCTATAAAGCAAGAAGTCGATGGTTAGATGGATGAATGGATTGATTGAATGAAAGTTTGAATGAATGATTAAATGAATGAATGAATAATTGAAAGAATACATGAATGATTGATTGAATGAATACATGAATGATTGATTGAATGAGTGAATGAATGAATGAATGATTGAATGAATGATTGAATGAATGATTGAATGAATGATTGAGTGAATACATGAATGATTGAATGAATACACGAATGAATGAGTAGTTGCAGGTCTGATGGTTAATTAACTCAACGATTCATTAACAACTGTGTGTTGAACAACCGGCTCGATGTTTAATTAACTGACTGTGTGTGCCCGGTGCGATAGAATGTTCTTCGATTACGTGATAGCTGGTGGGTAGTTGATCAGTCACACCATTGAACCTCCAGCAGATTACTTCGCTCAACAACCAGTGACAGCCGACAACTGCCAATCTCCTTCCGACAACTTCCACAAAAATATGAAACCCTTCAACATTGAATCATCGACAAAAAGTGGCAGCAGCAACAACAACCACAACACGTCATTACTGATGTCGTCAACTTCAGCATCTGCAGTGGCAGTAGCAGCGGCTTCATCGGCGACGTACACACCACCAGCAACTGCGGGAGCAACGACGTCAACCACCGGTAACAATATTTTCGCGCCGCAAGAAGGCGAACCTGATTTCTACGAGACGAACTGTCATTGGACGGGTTGCTCCATGCAGTTCGACACGCAGGAGCAACTGGTTAAGGTTGGAAGTTTCATCATCTTCTTCATCTTTCTCATCATCTTCATCTTTTTCATCATCTTCCTCATCTTCGTCTTCATCTTCTTCACCATCTTCATCTTCTTCATCATTCTACTGTCATTTCTTCTACTATCATCGTCGTTTTTGTTATCATCATCATCATAACAACAAAAACAGCAGCAACAACAATAACAGCCGCAGCAACAACATCAACATGTTCATCATTATTTTCATCCTCAGACGATCTAACAAGCAGTCCTTCCCACATTATCATCTTTAATTACACCATTACTCATTATTCCCGCTACAAAGTAGTAGCTACTTTCCCGACCACCACAACCACACAACACCACATCCACCACCTCTACCACCACCGTCACACAGCACCTGGCAGACGACCACATCAGCAGCCACAAGAAGAACTTCGTCTGCATGTGGGAGGGGTGCGTCCGGGGGCAGAAACCCTTCAAGGCGCAGTACATGCTGGTCGTCCACATCAGAAGGCACACCGGGGAAAAACCGCATAAGTGCACTGTCAGTTGGATGGATGGATGGACGAACGGACGAACGGACGGACGGATGGATGGATGGATGGATGGATGAATGGATGGATGAATGGATGCCTGGATGCATGGATTAATTAGATGAATAAATCGATGTAAGGGTTGTTTGTTAGATTGACGTCTGAAAGTTTTGGTACAAATTTGGTTGGTGGATTAATTGATTGATAAATAAATAATATGATAATCTCATTCATAAATGTCGTCTCGACCATCACAATCATCATCATTACCACTATCATCATCACTATCATCACCACTATCATCACAACCATCACCATCATCATCATTTCCAGCCTTACCACTTCACCATCATCACCAACATCACATCACTATCTTATTTTCAGCCACACCACATCCTCACCGTCATCACCAATTTTTCCAGCACCACCTCATCGTCATTTCCACCACACCACCACACCACTACCACCACCACATCACCACCAGTATCCTGGTTGCGTCAAAGCCTACTCCCGTCTGGAGAACTTGAAGACGCACATGCGTTCGCACACAGGGGAGAAACCTTACCTCTGCGAGTTCGTCGGCTGCAGGAAGGCTTTCAGTAACGCCTCTGACAGGGCCAAACATCAAAACAGGACCCATTCAAATGAGGTCTTGTCTCCTTAAATTACTGAGATCGTTCCTTCTCTCTTTATTGTCTCTTTCTCTCTTTCTCTCTCTCTCTCTCTCTCTCTCTCTCTCTCTCTCTCTTTTTCTTCCCTTTATAAATGAAAAATTATATACTCTTGAATGTAAAATCATAAACCATAAAATCCAAAATCCAATCCAATCCAATCCAATTGTATTTACTCAATCAGGAAGGATGATTAGAGGAAGGAAGAGGAAAATAGTTTTTGTGTCAGGTCACCGCGACTTTTGAATAACTGAAATTAAAAAAAAAATTCTCTTGAAATGTCGACGCACTGTTTGTGTGTTGTATACGGTGTTCATCCTCCTCATCATCACCTCAATTCCATGTGAAAAGTTCCACGATAACATATAAGTTACATTTAATGCTATACTTGCGTGTGTGTGTGTGTGTGTGTGTGTGTGTGTGTGTTTGTACGTATGTGTATGTACGTCTACGTACGTACGTATGTGTGTGTGTTGTTTAGAGTTGTGCATGTTTGTAAGAAGTACGTATTTGTACGCTCATCTGTGTTTTCTCAAACGGATGCAAGAGTATTCATGTCGCAATTTCCTCAACTCATGGCATCTATCCTATCTTTACGTGCATGAAGTTGCACCATGGTCTTCTATTTTGTTATGTGTTCTAGTTTGACCTACTTATCCCATTAAAATGAAACCCCCTAGCTAACTTACATTACGTCCTATCAACTGTTTGTGCTACTACAACAACAACTCAATCTCGACGGAAATATTTTATCAGCGATCGCTGACGTTGTTGGCTGGGCTGATGCATGCATGTGGCTAAATGCCTTCTGCATCATTCATCATCATCTACCGATTGTCGACCACTGCTCGTTTTGTGCTTTGCCTGGTTATTTTATTCATGATTGCTCGTTTGGTAGGTCGGAATGGCTGGTTATTATTATAACTTTTTAAAGGTTTCAACTTTTTTCAACTCACGACAGGAGATCTGGAGTGCTAAATTTATAAAAACCGCTTTCGATTTCGATTTCAAAAAAGTCTCACAAACATATGTACATATGTACTGTACTACACACACACACACACACACACACACACACACACACACACACACACACACACACAAATTTAAACTACTCATCCCAGAAACCGTACGTGTGCAAAGCGAAAGGATGCACGAAGAGATACACTGACCCGAGTTCGTTGAGGAAACACGTGAAAACTGTTCATGGGGTGGAGTTCTACACCAACAAGAAGCACAAAGGTGAAGGCTGTGGTGAAGATGGCAGCAGTGGTGCTGGTAGTAGCAACAATGGCGGTCGTGGTGGGGGACATACTGACGGCAGTAATAGTGGTAGGGATGGACTGGTCAATTATTCGGATAACTCGAGTTTGTTTCAAGTGAGTTTGTGTTGTTGCTGATGACGTCACACGTGACACGGGTTCATAAATTTTGATGAGAATAAATGATATTGATATTATTAAGAGTCATAAAAACGGCGATCAACTTTCATCACCATCATCGTCGTCGTCGTCACATCATCATCACCATCACCATCAGCCCTACAACAGTTCCTCCTCACCATCATCCGGTCCTCCATCAAACTCCAGCAACAACGGCTATTCAAAGGTGGACGTGGAAACTTTTTCATTGGTCAATCAAATAGTTGACTCCTCCTCCAAGGGTGGGGTTATGCTGCAGGTGACTATCATTATAATGAATCAGTTGATTACATGATTCTGTACGAGCAATGGTGTATTGACTGTTTTGAGATCTTTCTGTACGATAAGGCGTCCTTCGTCATATATCATTTTCTACCTTTTGTTCGCATGTTCACTCACATTCAAACGATTGCTCGCTGATTTGTTCGTTTGTTCGTTCGTTCGTTCATACATTCGTTTATTCATTCACATATTCATTCTTTAGTTAATCATTCATTCATTCGTTTGTTTATTAGACCACTTTAACTATCGTTCTCGCAAGAATGATTGGACGAACGAACAATGAAATGAAATTAGGAACAAGTGAACGATTAATTTATGATCGAATGTATCATTTCTTTCGGCCAATTCAAACGATTCTGTCTCTGTCTCTGTCTCTGTCTCTCTCTCTCTCTCTCTCTCTCTCTCTCTCTCTCTCTCTCTTGCCGATTTATTTTATCTTCTGTTTTTTCATTATTTCGTTCATTAAATCATTTGTCAATTTATTCATTCATTTGTTCTATCATTCATCAATTTATTCACAGAGATATCTATCCATTCATCCATCTACTCACTCATCCATTTATTTATTCACTTATTCATCCGTTCATCCATTTATTTATCTATCTATCTATCCATCCATTCATTTATTCATTTGTTTGTTCGTTTGTCCTTCTATCTTTTTACTCATTCATTCATTCATACATTCATTTATATATTTATTTAATCATTTATTCGTTCGTTCGTTCGTTCGTTTCTTGATTCTTTTATTCATTCATTTATTCATTCATTTATTCATTCATTTATTCATTCATTCATTCATTCATTCATTCATTCACTCACTCACTCCAGACGATGAAGACTGAGAAGGCCTCTCCCTTGTCATCTACACTGGACGTCGTCGTGGATGACGAGTTCAACCTGTCAGCAGTGCAGCAACAAGTTCATGACATTGAAGCCTTCTTCCCCGTTCGTTATCTTATTGTTGTTTTTATTCTTCTTCTGTTTCTTTGTTTTGTTGTTGTTCTTCTTCTTCATATTGTCGTTAATGTTGTTGTGATTGTCGTTACTTTGTTGTTTGTGTTGTTTTTATTATTACGTTGTTTTCATTACTTTTTAAGGAACACTTCTATCAATTATTACTACATTTATTATTACTGTCGCTGCTTATGCTGCTGCTACTACCGCTACTACTTTTACTACCGCTGCCACTACTACTTCTGATGATAACAATAGCAGCAACAATGCGGGAAATAACAATAGCGTAATTTCGATGATCGGCAGATAAACGCGGTTGCCATGGTAACGAACGGCGATGACGATGAAGACATAGGGGTGGTGGCAAACAACTTGGTAGGGCCCCTGAAGAACAAATCCTTCGTACCTTCACTGCCCCCGCTTGGTCTGTTTTTTGTGGTTGCTGTGGTTGCTGTGGTTGTTGTGGTCGCTGTGGTTGTTGTGGTTGCTGTGGTTGCTGTGGTTGTTGGGGTTGTTGTGGTTGTGTGGAAAATGTTGCTGATGGTTAGTTTTATGTTGTTTTATGTTTTGGTTTGTGGTTTTCAATATATTCTTTTAATTCTTCACAATGCAGATCCGTCATACGCAAAATTACTTACATGTTATTCTGTACTTATAATTAAATCTTCGTGCCACGAAGAATGTACCCTACCCATACACCACACGACGCACCACATCATACGCCTGTGATGGCCTCTCATTTTTGGACTGACAATATTCGAACTAGGTCATCGAGCTGAGCTAACCCTGTGACCATATAACTGTTGTTGTTGCTGCTGTTGCTGTTGTTGATACAAATTGGCATATACGAGCATGTAGCACGTCACACAAACAATGGCATTGTAGTAGTCCGTGCGTTTCCGTCCGTGCGTCACAATGCATTCGATCAGATGAGCGTCCAATACACGGCACCACTGCTGAGTTAACTCGCCATTATTTGTAGTTGGTGGTGATATTGAAGTTGTTGAAGATTCAAGATTGGGGTGTTTTTGATGAGGAAGATGATAACGATGTTCATAATGACGATGACGATGGTGTAAACGCTGATTATGACGCTGTTAATGAGGATGATGATGATTAAGACGATTTCAAAATTATTCAACCAACTTACTCCTCCCATCACCACTCATGTAGCTAACCATACGCATCTTGCCACATTCCATCATCCACTAAACCACTTCCTATCGAACAGGCAACAGACGGCAATCGTTTTCATCAGCTCAACACAACCACAACAACAGCAACAACACACATCTGCACAACAGCAACAACAATAACAACGTTCGAAGAACATTTCATTTCAACGATTCATCGCCTCACGTACGACGACGACCGCCACCACCGACGACGACGACGACAACGTTACTGCCACACAAAAACAACTCCAACCACAACAACAAACTTCGCCACAACAGCACTAACAGTTCTGTCATCAGCTCATACATGGGGAGCATCAGTTCTTCGGATTTTTCAATATCCAACAGTAACAATAATGACAGCAACAACAACAACATCAATAGCAACAACAACAACAACAATATTTTTATTGGCACCAACAACAGCAGCAGCAACATTTTCAGTGGTCGTCGTAGTAGCAGCCAGCCCAGCACAGGCTGCCACAGCAACGACGAATCGACGTCGTATAGATTTGCCGCTGATTCGCCGTACGAATACGATGCTCCGCCCTCTTCCTCATCATCGGTGGGTGGTTGTTATCACCATGGGGACGCCTCCTCCATGGGAGATTTATCACCCGCATACCATCCAAATCATCACCACCATCATCACCATGCATCATCATCCTTGTCCTCTCCATCGCCTTCTAAGAATAGCCTACAGAACGAAGCACGGTCTGGCTCGTCACAGTCAGTCAATTGTCTGACCAATCAGCTTCTAGATCGCTGGAACATCAACAAATCAACGAGCAGCATTGCCTCGCACGACCAGCAAATGCCGTCCAATCAAAATTTTTCTATTCGATCGTCCCGCAGGGGCAGCCTGCCTGTCGTTCATGATCCACTCGTGACGTCGTCGTCACGTGATCGATGTCACAGCTTGGAAAACGATCATGAGTTAAATGGCACGGTGGGCAACAACAATAATAACACCAGCAGTAACATCAATAACAACCTCATTAATAACTTCAATAACAACAGTATCAGCAACAACAACAACAACTTCAATAGCAACAATAATAACATCTACAACAACAACGGCTTAAGTAATATTGTCACCAGCAATGTTGTTGTTTCCAACATAGGTAACAACAACAACAAACCCAACAGTAGTATAAATATGGAAATTTGTTGCAACAATGTCAACACAAGTTTGAGTATTAGCAACAGCAAAAATGATATTTCAATGAATTTTATGACCATTTCGTCTCAGCAACCGTTGCCCCAACAACAACTGCAGCAATTTCCGCACCAACATCTACAGCAACCGCTACAACAGCAAATATTGCCTACCGCTACAAAAATGTACGAGGATGAATTTGAGGATGATTTTTTTATTATACCAGACGAAATGAAAGAATTCCTGAGACAACAAAGGATAGAGAAACGTTTACAAGAACAACAACAGCAGCAACAGCAGCAGCAACAGCAGCAGCAACAACAACAACAGCAGCAGCAACAATTATTGCATGACCAATCTCAACAACAACAACCACGAACACCCGATGAATTAATCACAGCTATGAATCAACAGACATTGCCAAGCCAAAATAATTGCCCAAGTTCAGAAGCGCCAGCCCACTTTTCAACAAATACGCTTACAGCCACGATTTCTTATTCATCATCTGCCGCACTACCGGTGCCTTCGTCTACAGCAACAACAACGTCAGCAAGAAATTTATTGCTTCCAAAGTTGAGTTCCTCCCTTCCACAACTTTCTCGCTCTAGTATTCTCTACTTTCAAGATCAACAGCAACATTTCAAACAACTTTCGCCAAGCCAACCGCAACCACATCAACAATTACAACAACAGCAACTGCAGCAAAAACAATCGCAACAGCATCAGCTACAACAGCTGCAGGCCTCAACATCGCCGCAACAACATTTACCACAGTCGCAACAACTACTTCCAGATAAACAACACCAATATTTGCTGCATCAACAATCTCAAAATCATCAACAACAGCAACAACAATCTCATCCTCAGTGTCAACAACCACCTCAACAACAGCAGCAGCAGCAACTACTGCAACAGTTGCTGCAACAATCGCCTCAACAACAACGACGTCGATCACAAAAGTCATCTCAACCTTCAACACAAACTGAATATTTTCAACCGCAGTTACCGCTACAGCATCCACCAACACAACAACAACTGCCACAAAATCATCAACAACACGCTCAACAAATACAACCAAGTCAGCAACCAATTCATCACCATGATCATCAAAGCCAGCTGAATAACTTGCCATGCCAACAACAACAATGCCAACAGCAACAACAGCAACAACCACAACAACAACAACAATCGCAGATGCACCAACAAATGCAGCAACAACAAAACTATTACCAGCAACACCATCATCATCAACAACAACAACAGAAACAATACTATTACAATGACTACAACCCATACTATTATTATCATCCATATTATTATCAACAACAACAACAGTATCAGCAACAGTATCAGCAACAGTATCAGCAACAGTATCAGCAACAAATGTTTCATTATCAACTAAACAAATCTAACAATATGACTAGCAACAACAACAATAACTGTACAAGCAATAACAACAACATTAACTATTCTTACAACAACAATAATAATAATTTTTACAACGATAACAACAATTATAAAAACAGTCTTCATAATAATAATGATAATAATTGCAACAACAACAAAAACAACAATAATAATAATAATAACAACAATAATAATAACCACAACGTCAGCACCAACAACTCTGCCAGTTTTTTCGATCTGAAGGATCAGGAACAGACCAAGGTAGGTATTTCCGGTTCTTAAAGCGCGATGACGTCAGCTGGTGATCATGATGGTGATGATGAGAATGATGATGATGACGATGATGATGATGATGGCGATGATTATTATTTTGTCGATTATCATGATGATAATGATACTTTTATAGTAGCGATGATGACGATGATGATGTTGTTGATGACGACGATGACGATAATGACGATGATTGTGATGACGATGGAAATTTTTTCAAGGTTTCCAAAGCATCTGATCATCAAAGTAACTCTTATGACGTCATCAGTTGCAGAAACAACAACAGAAACAACAACAATATCAATAACATCAACAACAACGACTCGAATAACGTTAATAACAACACAAATAGCATCAACAACAACAATCTCAACGTTAACATTAGTGCTATACCTACCAAGCAACATCATCAACAACAACCACAACAACAACAACGTCATGTCCAACAACTACAAAATTATTCTACTATGCAACCACAACAAACACAGCTACAACAAACGCAACATGAACAGCAACAACAGCAACACCAATATCATTTATATCAACAACAACAACAACATCAGCCGTATTTTGACAATTCATTTCTATCCAGCCATAACAACAACAACAACAAATATTCTTGCCAAAATAATTTGCCATTACATCAACAACGACAGCATCATCAACAACATCAACAACAACAACAACATCATCAACAAGCACATCAACAACAACAATAACAACAACAACCAAATTAACAAAACCAACAACATTAGCATTGTTAACAATTTTTTCGTCGTTTTCGTGTTACTGGTAGGCACATTAGCAACAGTGTCTTTCTAATTTTAGCACACACAGCATAGCAACCCAAAATCAAAATTACGACGTCACGATATGAAAAACACTACATAACGCCAAGATCTTTCTGCGATTAAGATTGTGTTGTCAGAATGTTCGTTCGTTCGTTCGTTTGTTTGTTCGTTTGTTAACATTTTTAGCTGTGAAAAAATTATTTTTTTTTTATAAGTTTTTCTTATCATTCACCGATAATGTTATTATTATCTTATTTTTTCTCTCTTTTCTTCTTATTATTATTGTTGTTGATGCTGTTGTTATTGTTGTTATTATTATTATAAATTTTTTTATTAATATTAGTAATAATAATAATAATAATAATAATGACAAACAGTTTTTGTTATTACGAGTTTTTGTTAGTTCCATCATTGCCATCAGCTTTTCTTTTTTTTATTCAATTTTTTGAATTATCTTTTCGATTCACTTTGTTGTTATTGTTAATAATAATAATGATAATAAATAATAATAATATTATTATTTTATTATTATTTGTTTTTTTTATTATTATTGTTATTGTTATTATTTTTTTATTTTTTGCTGTAACCTTGTTTACGCTTTCTTCTTTTCCCATAGCTCTCTAAGCCTTTGATAAAGTGCCTTATCAAAACAACAACAACAACAACAATAATAATGATAATAATAATAATAATAATAACACCAAATAATAATATAATTATAATAATGATAATAGTAAAGACAATAATATTAATTTTAAGTATATAAAAGAAAACGTAGCTATCAACGTGTAGATATTTTGTCTACTGTTATATATATATATATATATATATATATATATATATATATATAA